ATTTTAAGAATTTTGATTGGTTAATAATTTATTTTTTGTTATTTTTATCATAAAAATTTTTCTAAAATTTGGCGCATTATAGAAAAGTAGATATCTTTAGCTATCACCTACTGTATATTATATAAAAATAAAAGTGTTTTTACAAATTTAGTTATAATATCTGCACTTGATAGTTATACTAGAAATTTAGCTAATTGTATCTATAAATATTAACTTTATCTTTGATAAGAATATTTAGATTCAATATATTATCTGCTATTTGTATCTCACCTATTTCAAATTTTCTTTCAATAGTTTAAAGATATTTTTTTTGAGAGTCACAATATAATTACAAATATTCTAAATATATAAGTTTGAAAAAAACTCTTAAATATTCTATTACAAATATAATATTTAGTTATCTTTTCTACTTTTTGTTTTTTTATCAAAACTAACAATGCTTTGCTATTTTAAGATACTAATAAACAAGAATAAACTAAAAAAAAGATTTTTTAATATTGTTCAAATTAACAATAATATTATAATTAATTAATTTTACTAGTTCAATATTGAAGATTAGGTTAATCTAAATCTCTTTCAAAAAAGTAAAAACCCTTTTATAAAATTTACAATTTCTTAGATTCTTTCTAAATTCTATTATAAATAAATTTTTTCGATAGTATATTCTAATAACTAGTATTTCGCAAAAGATTTGATCTACCTGCCAGTTTGCTGAATCTGTAGGCAGACTAGATATGAATACTTGATTAAGCAAATACAGATCTGTATTAAGATCTGCTTAATCTGGTCTGAAATATAGACTAGCTTTCTGATTAGTCAAATATATTTAAAAGTAATCAGAAATATAAATAATCAAGCAACGTAAAAGACAAGCAGCTATATCAGAGAAATATAAAAAGTAAAATTTTTCTTAAAGAGAGAATTTTTTTTTAAACAGAGCCAAGCAGATCAAATCCAAACTTGGACCCAAAACTTAGATTTGATTCAGTTATCGAACCAGATTCAGATCTTTAAAAATATTCGCTCAATCAGATTTATATGGAATACTACTCATAATTACCAATTTAATATAAATTTTTTATATATTTCTTTAACCTTTAATATAAGTTCAAGCTTTATTTGTTAAGTAGATTTTTAATAAAAAATATTATCAAAATATTTTATTTGTAATTATTCTGAGAAAAACCTTGAAAAAAACCTCTTTTATATATATTATTGTTAATAATTAAATAGCTCAAATACTTTTTTTAAATTTTTTTTTAATTATTTTACAAGTTTTAAATCATTACTAATGACTTGACTAGCTAAAAGATCTTTTTAAATTAAATTCTTAATAGATACAATATTAAAACCAAAATATAATTGATAATAAAAAAACATATTAATTTTGTTAAATTTTTTTCAACTTATCAATATTATCTTTAATCTGGTCTAAATCAAGAAAACTTTCTTTGTCTATTTTTATCACTCAAAATCATATAAGCTACAAATACTCTTAAAAACATAATCAAACTAATTATAAAATATAATATATTAATTTTTAAAAATGAAAAAAATTTCATTATTAAAATAACATGTATTATTAGTATATATGCAAAGTTAACATCTTTATATAATCATTACGAAGATAAAACTTTGTATAATACTAAATAACAACATAAAGATTTATGACTTAATATATCCCTAATATGACAATAATCTTTTCACATAATAGGTTGGTAAGATGAACTATAAAACTGTGTAACAGATTATAGCATAAACACCCCTCTACTATGTGCAAATATTTATCAGCAAGCAAGCTAAATAGGCAGGAAAAGCATAATCCAACAAACTAAAACATAACTTATTTATTTAGCATTTGTCTTGCAAATAGATCACACAAAATTATCTTATAATGAAGTTAATTTTAGGACATAATGTAAGAATCTAACCAACCTGTGAGGGAATTTGAAGAATTTTTGATTAGCACTCTGAACCAACTGGGTATAAGCTACTAACAAATTATACAGCTTGACCTACGATCAACTTCAACTCATTTGTGTTAACCAAAGATCTTCTTTCAACCACAGATAGACAACTGTGATGGCATTTATATGGCTCTCTTCGGCAGTGATCAAAAAATTTTAGATTTTGATTTGTAAATCAACAGACATGATAAAAAAAGGGAAATTCTATTTTCACCCGGGTTAAAGTTACCCAAAATATTACTAAAACTAAATAATTTTAGTTACGTAAATGACATTATAGTTTATTGGGTGACTTTAACCTGGTGAAAATAGAATTTCCCTAAAAAAAACTTGGTATTAGAAATCACAAGAATCGCAGTAAAAAAATGAAATCACTAAAAAGCGACATTGCCTTGAAAATCATCTTCCAACATTTCCGATCGAGTTTAATTCGGACAAAAATAAACCCGAGCATCGGTTCATGAATCATGATCTAATCACGATCATCGGCAACACGAATCACTTGATCGAAACAGACCAATCAGATCCGGTTTAAACTGGACAGACGCTTAGAATTTTATATTATAGATTTAAACATGCTAAACAAAACATGACAAAAAGGTTTTAAAAATACGCAACAACTTTTAGTAATCCTTTTAACAACATTGTTAACTAAATTTCCAAATCAGATTTTAGAGTTCAAACTTTATTCAGATCCAGATAGCTGCCACTTACAGATTTTAAACACTTAGTTTCTACGTTAAAAATTGAAGACATTTCAGATAAAGTTTACCATACAAACACATTATTATTAAAGTTGAATTAATACATATCATATGTTTCTGTTTTATAATATATATATTTAAAATATACTATAACGAACCAATTATGTTTTCTATACCAAAACTAATATTTAAAGATTAATATGCCCAAAGCACGTTATAGAAAGAATCAAACATACCTAAAATTACAAGATTATTTTGCATTATAACAATTGATTGCTAATTCACTTAAAATAATAAAGAAGCCCAACCAGCCATCATTAAGATACCACCTATAGGAGTTACAAAACCTAACCTAGATTTTGATTTTAATTTATTCCAAACTAAAAGATAAATACTACCAGAAAATATAATAGTACCGGCAGCGATTAGACTACCAGCCAATACTGGAGGTTTGTTTGTAACAGGATTTCTCAAATTTGAAAAAGAAACAAGCGCAATAGAGTGAATTAATTGGTAGTAAGTTGCTATTTCCCAATTCTAAAAAATAAGAAAAAAAAATCAAATGAAATCTTTTTGTACAAAGGCAACAAGAGTGTTAAATTTTTTACGGATTGATCTATGTACATATATGTACCTTTAATTTATCAGAATTTTTAATTTTATGAGCACCTAGAAAATTCCAAATTAATATTCGCAAAATAGGTTACATGATTATTTGCAATAAAAAAGACCCTTACCATAT